GCCGATTGCTCGATTTTCATGGAGTGAAGATCACTGTTAGATTGCATGTATAATGGCGTTAACGTGAGATGCTTGTGTTGTACGAATAGCCAAAATAGATGAAAGATATACCTTTTAATGGAGAGATTACACCTGGAAAGAAACTCACTGCGTCCAACGTTGCATTTTTAAAGTCATTGGATTTATCGTACGAAATGGCTGATATCTTAAATATAATATTACCGGTGATCCGATCTTTGACGACTGCATTGTTAAGATTGAGACTCACACGTACAATCCGTATGCTAACACTACATTTGGACATAGCGATGGGATACGGATACTCATACTGTAGGATTTGTACACGTTGCTGTGCAAAAGTTTCTCTATGTCGATGGAAGATTAATGGTGAAGAAGAAAAACGATCAGATGCCGACGACGCTTGAAAATAATTGTGTGGCATTCATATTTGATGAAATACGACATGAATTCAACGGTGGAGATTGACAGCAACAGAAATGTCGGAGTGATCAATGCCATCAAGAACTACGTGTTGCTGACGACAAAGTTTTGCGCTGAATGCTGGAACGGATGGAATTCTAGATCCGAGGAAGGGTACTTTAATTTTTACGTGCCGCTCAACATGCTTTTGCGAAGATTACAAACGCGTAGTTGTCAACACTCGCCATGAATTAATCTTAATATGAGCGCACAATGATTACAATTGCTTGTGTCCTGCAACGGAGCTTGAGGTTGAATTATTCAAAGTGCAGTGACAGATGCCTCACGTTGCGTTAAACGAAATCAAAATTATCAATGCTGCGAGCATTGGAAAGCGGTCGTTATCTGAGCATGAGTTTTCACTCGTAGGATTTGTATGAGTATCCTGTATTACAGAATAGGACCAAGCATTCATGGGCTATTAAATCGGCTCAACTTGAGAAGCCGCGTACGACTATTTAAATCTGGATTTTGGCAACAAGAGATACGCCGTTTGATATACGCAAGTTTTCATAAAGCATATTATGGAATCAACTGCTTCGAAATATTACTCAACATGTTCTCATTTATCGAGAAAGAGCCATTTGCAATCATTGATTGCTCGCGACAAAACGAATCCATCAATAGCGCCACTGTGGACGTACTCATAGAATTTGACTACAAGGAGAATGTGCCCGCCAATACTGTCTATTGCCTCATCATATCGTGTAGTGTCTGTTCTCCAACGTAGTGCACAAGATTATGTAAGTTGCAAGATCAACAAGTATTCAGAATTTTAAAAGAGAGAGAAAAACAGGATGAGGTGCAGTCTCGAAAAATTGCTCGTCGTGGTCATACCAACATTTGTAGATCTGTAAGGATTCATCGTTGATAAAATATTTTTTATCAAGGAAGTGTTAAGAAGGGGAACCATTCTCATACATTACATCCTATGCTATGGCATTTTTTGATGAGATCCGACCAATCTTACTCTTCCTGATTGAATGTTTTCACTATGGATTGCGATAGGATGATGGGATGGTTCCGACATAGCACAGTGAGGCATCTAATTACGGAGACCGTGATTGAAGAAAATGAAGCACTCGTATATATCAAGGGATACGAAAAACGGAAGTCGGACATACTCGTTACCAATGCTGTCATCGTTAAAACTCTGAATGCGCATTACGAAGATATAGAATTTGTTAATAATCTAGATGATTATAATACCATACGATATGGAAAACATGCAAAAGATTGTGCTTTTTAAAATATTTAACTGGTGGTCGCGACGTCAGGAAGAATTGTAAGATTTTTAAAAAATAAAATATATGTTCACACCTATTATATCACGTTAATATGTTTTTATTTCTGCTACCCTTACCAGTAGACATTTAAATAAACATATAGCAGTTAAAAATGACTGATAACGGTCTGATGGCGATTCAATAGCTGTTCGAAAGCTGTTTATAGTTGTTTATAGCTGATTGAAAGTTGTTTATAGCTGTTCGAAAGCTGTTTAATAGATATACGTTTAATTGCGCGTCAATGGTACACACGGAGCACTGCATATGATAAAAATGTTGAGGTGGAATTTTTCAAGCGCGACGTCTTCTCGTATACTTTTTGGCTGAGATATACGCTTTTACTCGCATTGTACTTTTTGTCGCTGATATATTGATGATGATGATCTAACTTTAACTGATAAAGTGCTGAAATTTATTCATGGAATTATTCGAACGCGTGATATATTGTACTTTTTGGCTGAGGTATAAACTTTTGACCGTGGCGTTCTATTTTTGACCGAGACATTGTACTTTTGCCCATCGATATAAAGCATTAATCTAATTAAAATAGATAAAATGCTGAAGTTTTTTAATGAAATCTTTTGAACGCGTGATTTACTTTTTGGCTGAGGTGAACTTTGACTGTAACATTGTACTTTTTCTCGAAATGATATCATGTTATAACAAACATCTTTATTATAAAATCACACTCCTGCTGCTCAGTCAGTCTGTCAATGTGTTAAAGATATGAGGATGATATTAAGAAAATTAGCTATAGATGCGTAAAGAAACGAAGGAGAGATTCCCATGATAATGATGATCATAAAGATATTAATGATGACGTTATTATTGTTGGAGAAGAGATATTTTAGGAATAATGAAAAATTTACTCACTAACTTTATTTTCTTAAAAAATAAATAATACATAAATATACATATAGTACAATGCTATAAATAATACATAACATATAGTACAATGCTTGTTGTACCACAAGCATTGTATGTATTATTTATAGCGATTTTTAAGGAAAAAAAATTGGTGAGTAAATTTTTCTTATCACCTATTTTGTTATCTGACAAGTATTTGACATTATTAATTGCGATATTCCTGTATTCATAGAAAATGACATATTTTAGAAAATCTTTGCAACAATTAATTAATCATTATTCTAAGATTGTGAATACAATTTCTTTTATTAAAAATAGCTATGTGGGGTAGATTCACCAAAAGGAGACGAGGTTAGGTGACAACTAATTTTAATATCTATAGAGAACACATTTTCAGAGAGAATATACTTATAAATATATTATATTTCATATATATATATATGTTTTTTTATTTTTCATATTGAAATTACAAAAACAAATTATGTATTTTATGATTAGAATACCTATTGTATAATTACTATTATTTCTTAAAATATAGAACTGATATTAAAATAAAAATTTATTTAGTATTTTTAAAATGTGTCTAACAAATATGCTACTGCCAATCCTAGAACGTGTGACAATCAATCCAGAACACGAGGTTAATTATAACATTTTCGCAGCTTCATTTAAAATTAAATAACCTATTTTTATGTTATGATGAATTCACGAATAATATTTTTTTGTAATACCTAAAAGGTGTAAGTATATTATAACGTATATAACATTTCAAAATCAGGCATCCACTTTTTTTCTAAAAATTACTAATCAAAAACTGTGACAACTGGCTTCAGTCTCCCCTAAGGTATAAATAAATGTCTAAAATAAAAAAATTAGTTTGTCTTCACAATTAATCGTTTCTCCTTTCCATTCTTTTTTGCAGTATCGTATTACGCGCGTGTCATTACGTGCAACACCATCGCGCGCGATCGTACCATCGCGCTTTTACTAAGCGTTCAATTCACTCTTCGAATAATTAAATAAATACAATAAAATAAAATAATATAAATAATATAAATAATAAATAAATAAAAATCTTTGCGTGCTAGAAGAAGAAGATGGCGGTATGTAGAAGAAGAGACGGTACGTATAAAATATGATAAGTATAAATGGTAATTATCAAATGGTAAGTAAAGCAGGTGGGGATCGGCAGCGACGGAGGCGGACCATGCCCGACGGCCATTGATCTCGCGTGTTCTATTGTCAGAAGTGCTTGAAATTTAAAATTATTATTAATGTTTCATGAAGATAAGATTTTATGTTAAATAGCATAATAAAATATATTGAGGATTTTGCAGTTTACTTCGTTTTTATGTTTTTATTAAACATATATACATCAGTAGAGTATAAAGATGGATTCTAATCCGGCAGCCTCGAAAGGGGGGATGAGGGGCGGGGAGGAGATCCGCGAGGATGGGCGAAAACTTACGTTGCAGGGTCGCGTGTTGAGGCCGACAGATCTCGATAGTTTTAGCAGAGTTCTATGCTCTAGATTTATTTTTAAACGGAGTTCCGACTGTTATATATTTTAAATTAATTTTTTATTAAATTGTTAATCTCCGATTTTAGCACTACATTTTAGAGAAAAAGTCCTTTGCTGGTTATTTATCGTTATTGTAGAACATAGAGCTCAACTAGAACTAATGAAAACTGTCGCTAAAACTACTATAAGCAATTAACACGACACTTTCTTCAAGAGTCCTACCGTTTTTCTATATGTATAATATATAAAATGTATAAAAATTGGAAGTTATTGGAATTTTGTTTTTAAAATGCATATATTAGTAAGTCTTTAGTAAAATTATACTCTATAGTATTAGTAGAGTTATTACTCTATCGGGAATTATTGTTAAAAGTATTAATATTTATCATTTTTTTATATTTTAGAGAAAAATTGTGCTAGATCCGCGAAATAAGCACGCTACATTTTCATATTTGGTTTATTTATATAAAAAATGCGGAACTTTTTTCATTTTTATGTAGAATTGTAGGATTATGAAAAGTGCTACTGGAACCGTTATCATTTTTTTTTATATTATATTAATAGAATGTCGTGCTAGCTCATAGATCCTTGAACTTTCGAGTCGTCGCAAACGCAAATCTTTTTCTCGTGTAGCATATAGCAGAAATGAGATTATTTTTTAATTTGTTGTTATTTGATTGTTATTTTTTAAACTTTTTTTCTTAATAACTTTTAAACGAAGGACGATTACCAACTAAAATCTGAAGTTCACTCAGGGTCATGATCTTGACAGCGTATGTCTTGACAACGTATGTTAAAATATGAAAAAAATACGTTTAAAATAACATTGTCGATAATTTTCCTGATCATTTGTAATCAACACACCAAAATACTGTAGTATACCAATCGACAACAAAATCGAAGATGTCACTCTTTCGGAAGTGCAGCTTTTTAGGTTGAAAATGATATTGAAGATGTGATCTAAAATGGGGATTGAAACCATTTTGACATTAAATTGTTTATCCGACTCATCATTGTCCTTAAATTGTTTATCCGGCTCATTATTGGCATTATTATTGTAGGTATATTTTATACAACAGACAATTACCAATTGTCATATTACAAACTAATAAGCGTTTATATTGTATATTTAACTTACGCGAATTGACTTTTCATGTTATTCGCTGTCACGTTGTTCGATGATGAATACACGTAGATATCCTTGTCATATATACGCGTTGAGGAAGCATTCCACGGGTTACCACTGTTACCGATATAGAGATCCTCTTGATTTTCATTTATTTTTTCGTTATTCATGTGTGAATAATCTTTGTCCACCTGACGTATTCTGGCACCTCCAAGTATCTTATAAACATCTGGCGTACCATTATCTGTAAGTACCACAAGTGCTGATAGATTGTGTATAAATAGCACGTTAACGAAAGAAGAAGAGAAAGACTGCATATGACATCTACATATAATTATAAAATAGTATACAGTTATAATCGTGTAGTTCATCATAGTGTGTATTCATTTTATATAATCAAATACAATTATTTATAATCTTTACTTATCGGAAATTTAACGGATAAAGACTATTGACTCTCTATAATTTTTCACTCTATAGTAAATACTTTAAAATTATGATATACTTTCTATATATAAAAGAGTTAAATGGAAAATATTCTATAATATCATCAGAAGTTCTCTTTTTCATAATTCTATCGGTTATGCGAATTTGAAAGTGCATGTATTTTTCGATTCCTTCTATATTTGATACATGTATGCGCACGTTATACCATCTTTCTCCTAATTACCAGAAACAAATATCTCACCTTGATTTAGACTCGCTTAACCAGTAAAACTATTCTAATTTATCCTACTTCAGATCGTTTTTATAATTGCAGATTTCTAAAATTTTCCATAAACGCCGAGGAAATTGTGATGGATTTACTCTTTTCCAATTGTACATACTATAAATTACGAGAATTAAGCTCATGCAAGGGACTGTTGAAAACATTGCACTGTACAGATTTGAAGAATTACTGGGCATTACTTAAAAGAATTGTGTATTATAATAAGTAGTATGAAGTTATGCATTATTGTTCATTGTAGAGCATTATTATTAGTGTAACACATGGATCAATAAGTCCCGAGACTAACAATGAAAACAACATTTTTTTTGCAAAATTTTTTTTTATTCATCAACATAATCACCTTTTAGGGTGATACATTTCAATACCATGTTTATAAAAAAATTTATCTTTCGCTTCAAAATAAGTTTCAGTTTCAGCGATGACCTCCTTATTTGAGCCAAATCTTTTTCCCTGGAGCATTTTTTTAAGATCAGCAAAGAGCCAGTAGTCACTGGGGGCTAAATCTGGCGAGTATGGGGGGTGGGGAAGCAGATCAAAGCCCAATTCGTTCAATTTTGCCATTGTTTTCATCGACTTGTGGCAGGGTGCATTGTCTTGGTGAAAAAGGATTTTTTAAACAAACTACAAAACGACTTTACTCTAACCTCGATAACTCAGCTGTTTCTAGTCCGATCGACTTAAAATTTTGACACGTTTCAAGCAAAGGTTAGTACTCTAGAAAGACGTGGTTACTGGTTTACTACGAGCGCCATTTCTGGGTTAGTCTCGGGACTTATTGATCCATGTGTTATTACCTGTAGACACTAGTGTCTCGGCGCTAAGGTACGCGCAGCGACACTGCTGTGATATTACAGGACATGAAAGATTGAGTATTACTGGACATTAGTAGGCATTAGTATATACATTTGGTTAGCAATTTATTCCATGAGTTCATGATACGTCTAAAACTATAAGTAGTAAAACATAAAGTAGTAAGTGAATAGTCCAATTATAATAGAGATTATTGCTTTACGTTTTCTACTGTAATTAATCAATTTGTTTATTGCTTAAGTCTTACTGTTTATCTACAATATTTCGAATCTTTCTTGCTTTATTTTCCCCAATTTCACTTTTTTTTAGATTATCGTTTCTATTAGTTGATAGTCTGGTGAGATATGCAGAATATCCCGTATATATTCCACTGCGCTGAGATTAATGTCTTACAAAGGAACGGTCGGAACTGACCATCACCGATTTTAATGAGCTTTGGATGTTGTAGAGCATGAAAAAATATTAGACCTCTATTTTTTGTACTTATCTCGAAATTTAGGGGATGATTTTTGCGGGTTATCGTCGTGTTTTGTCCATTACTAATGCCAACGTTTCATTGCTAGCGAATCTTGCCGTTCACTTCATCAGGGCGATGAGCGCACTGATACTGAGCTGCTCGTCCGGGAAATTCCCTTTATGTAGAAACTGTAAAGTGTGATGGGGATATGTTGGAGAAAGGGAGAGGTCTTCCTTGGCTAGTCAAGAGAATAGTCTTTCATATCCTACTTATATTATAACTTGAATCTCTGTTCAAATTGTCTGGATGTTTCTGTATTTCTCTCTGTACCTCCTCGGGACATATGACATTAATATAGTTATAATAACCGTTTTGTCGAATAATATTTGATGTCCTGTCTCAACCCTGTGTTCTGTCAATGCTGATTGTGTGGCATACATCAGCCCGATATCCTGTTAATATTTCTTTATGCGCACGTTGACATTCTTCCGGTTTTACCGATGTATATCTCCTCGCAAGAGCAAGATATTTTGTATATTCTCTTGCCGAACTGAATGGAGGTATTTGGTCTTTAGGATTTCTCAAGATTTGCTCAATCTTTCTTGGAGACTTGAAAATGGTTCGGATGTTGTGTTTGTTCAAAATCCTACCGGTTTGTTGTCAAATCCGATTTGTTGTTTCTTTTACATATGGAAAAATGGAGAAGCTTCTTTTGTTTAACTCTTCCTGTGGTTATTGTGTGTCCGAGTTGTTCTTTGTACCTATGTTTACTGATTGTCCTGTCCACTTCTTTTTTATTTTGTATACGTTCCGCTATAAGATTTGTTTTAAATGGTTGAGTTTTGTTTGTAAATGTTTCTTATCAGAGATACTGTATGCATAAGTGAGCGTATTGATGACTGTTTTTGTGTTGGATGATGGTGTGACTCAACATGTATCTGTCAGTGTGTGTTGGTTTCCCGCATACTTGATGATGTAGGGTATTGTCAGCCTTCTTTGTCACAAGAACATCCAGGAAGAGATCTTACCATTTTCTTCTATGTTCATGGTGAATCGAATATTAGGATGTTTGTTGTAGAGGAAGTTTAAGAATTTGTGAAGTTCATCACTGCCATGTCTCCAGATTACGAAGGTGTTCGTATACATAATGGAATTCTTCTATATAACACATGGATCAATAAGTCCCGAGACTAACCCAGAAATGGCGCTCGTAGTAAACCAGTAACCACGTCTTTCTAGAGTACTAACCTTTGCTTGAAACGTGTCAAAATTTTAAGTCGATCGGACTAGAAACAGCTGAGTTATCGAGGTTAGAGTAAAGTCGTTTTGTAGTTTGTTTAAAAAATCCTTTTTCACCAAGACAATGCACCCTGCCACAAGTCGATGAAAACAATGGCAAAATTGAACGAATTGGGCTTTGATCTGCTTCCCCACCCCCCATACTCGCCAGATTTAGCCCCCAGTGACTACTGGCTCTTTGCTGATCTTAAAAAAATGCTCCAGGGAAAAAGATTTGGCTCAAATAAGGAGGTCATCGCTGAAACTGAAACTTATTTTGAAGCGAAAGATAAATTTTTTTATAAACATGGTATTGAAATGTATCACCCTAAAAGGTGATTATGTTGATGAATAAAAAAAAATTTTGCAAAAAAAATGTTGTTTTCATTGTTAGTCTCGGGACTTATTGATCCATGTGTTATAAAAGCAACAACAGATCGGATTTGACAACAGACAGGTAGGATTTTGAACAAATATTCGAATTATTTTCCTTCAAGGAAGATCGAGTAAATATTGAGAAATCCTAAAGACCAAAGACTCCCATTCAGTTCCACAGCAGAGCATGGTATACAAAATACCTTGTTCTTGCGGAAAAGTATACATACAGGGTGCGGCAGAGAAACTTACTTTTTTGAAAAACGCGCCAAACGGCAAGGGGTGAAGGTAGGAAGCTGGGAGGGGGTGCGTCCGAAAGGATAGGTCCTCAATTTTTGTTCCCCCCACAGCCAGTCTCGATCATGCTTTGGACAAGAGAGCATCGCGCGTTTGCCGTCGAGGCATACTTTGGTAATGGCCGCTCCATTGTCGCCACTCAACGTGCCTTTCGAGCGCGCTTCATTATTCCTATGGGGTTATTTGAAGTCTATTGTTTACAACGATCGACCAGAGACCCTAGCTCACCTGAAGACAAACATTCGGAACGCCATCGCCGAAATACCGGTGGACATGCTTCAGAGAGTGACGCAAAACTTCAGAAATCGACTCAATCAGTGCATAGACAACGGCGGCCGTCATTTGATAGATGTAATTTTCAAAAGTGCATGAAAAAAAATTTGATGAGGTGATCTGTAAGAGGAAAAAAGAATTATACCGATATCTGCAATAGTTTCGTTTTTATTAACCTTTAAAAAAAGTAAGTTTCTCTGCCGCACCCTGTACATCGGTGAAGCCGTAAGAATGTGCGCATGAAGAAACATCAACGGGGATGCCAGGCTAAAACATGTCATACAGTCAGCATTGGTAGAACACAGCGTTGACACAGGATATCAAGTATTATTCGACAAAACAGCTACTATAGCTACAATCATGTCATACATATGTTAGAGAAAATACAAAGAGACCCTAGAAATACAGAAACATTCAGACAATTTAAACCGAAACTCATGTTATAATGTAAATAGGATATGGAAAACTACTCTCTTGATAAGCCAAGAAAGACCTCTCCCCCTTCCTCAACATACCCCCAACCCTTTCTAGCATCTATATAAAGAGAATTTCCAGGAGGAATAGCTCACAAGGAAAATGTCCAAAGTGATAATCGCGAATTGATATAAAATATATATCATTGGAAATGTCTCGCTGAGTTGAATACAACTGTGTAATATTTCGCTTGAATGGCGCCTCTAAAAGGCGTTATGTACAATAGAAGTTATACAATGTGTACCTAATGGTAATAAGAATTTGATTTTGGGTTAAGTTTCTAGGGTCATATATGTATATGTCAAGAGACACGATAGTGTCTTGGCGCGCGCAGATAAACTCCTCCTTTTTCTTCTTTCTTCCCCCCCCCCTGATGAATTTCTGGTTCACTACAGTAAATTACAGTTACCACGGCTTGAATCGTACTCAGAATTATTTCTTCTCGGAGACCACAGCGTGAGACTGAATATATAGAAACAATACTCTCGCATGTCTTCTCACTCCGAGATATCAAATTGCGACCAAGCAGCAACCGCCGAAGCGTTATAGC